ACGCGCTGCAGACCCAAGCCCTCCAGGACCTGTCTCTGAAGTTGCTGGCCTCCCAGGGATTCTCTGTGGCCCGCGGGTGGCCCAGCAGGCTGCGGAGCGAAGCTGGCCCGGGGTGCTTACCACTGCCCCTGGGGAGGGCGACCCCCGACAGAGCCTCCAGCACGGAGCTCTTGCCCGAGCTCTGGTCCCCGATGACGGCGATGGCGGGCAGGGCCAGGTCCTGCTCCACGCCCAGCGCCCGCAGGGAGTCGATGAGGTCGATGCAGGGGCGCACCTTCTCCTCATACTGGCTAGCCAGACTGTGCTCGGGGCCCTGGAAGAGGCAGGATTCCCATCATCATCGGGAATTTGGGGCAGAATGTGTGCCTCCACTGATGTTGGGGTGCAGACAGGAGGTGGGAGGGCCTCCGGGAGGTGCCCGTGTTCTCTTCCTGCAGAGGCTTTGCTTCTGCTGATGTGGGGGCTAGCTGGCTGGGAGGTGCCTCACTGAGCAGGGAGAAAGCACGCAGGGGCGGAAGCTCCTGGTCAGAGGGAGGACAGGAGCCAGGCCCTGGGCTGCCGAGCAGGGGTGGGGTGGGGAGTGGGGTGGGTTAGCAATGGTGGCAGCGACCATAGCAGCTGCAGGAAATCTCCCCTGGGAGGGAGGGAGACCCCAGCATCTGGAACAGAAGCCCCAGGCTTGCTGCCTCAGAGATCGGGTATGTCCCTGGGGCTTGCTGCAGGTGCCTAGGAGTCTGCGGGGCACCGGCTTTCCTGGTGGGATTGGACCGGACTTGTGGGTTTATGGCTATGATTAGGGCGCTCATCTCTGGCCGGCGGCTGGAACGCACCCTTCCTGAAGTCCCTCTGCGTGACCTACCTTTGCCCTCTGTTGGCCCCTGCTTCCTTCTGGCTGCTGAGGGTTCAGGGCCAGTGAGTGGAACTCCTTGATGAGATAAGCTGGATCCTGCCCTCTGACCTGATGGTTCGGGGGACACATCATGTGTCCTGCTGCCTCACCGGGTGGCGGGGGCTGCTGGTGGAAGATGTTCAGTTCTTTTTTTGGTTGCTGTTGGGGACAAAACATCTTGCGCCTCTGGTATGGCCAAGAAGTGTGGGCCTTAGACATTAGCCGTCACTGAGTCAGAGCTGGTGGGAGTGCTCCCCGTTGCTCAGCACCGCGTCTGCCTGACAAGCTCTGTAAAGACACAGGATGGCAGAGTGGGCCCACTGTCCCTAGGCAGTCCCCTCCCAGGCTGGACCTTTGCCAGCCCCGCCTCGCCCAACCGCACACCACGCACCCCTGCACGCAGACCCGGGGGAGACCTCAAGAACAAATCCGTTGACTTGCTGAATCTCCTTAAGTAAGGAAATCATGTAAGTTATAGTAACCTCCATGATATAAACACACAATAAATTACTTCGCAGAGAGCCAAGCTGAGGAGTTTGCTCTCCTGGCAAATCAAGGGCTCCCTTTTGTCAAAGAGTAAAGGACACAATCAGTCTGTGTCCCCTCCCCCTTGGCGGCAAGGAGGCCCGAAAGTGAATCAGGGGGAGTCGTAGGGTCGTGGGCCTTGCCATGCTCTTTGGCTCTCGTCCCTGGAGTCTTATGAGGCCTTATTCTTGTTTTAAGATTTTGCAAGCAGAGAGAATTAGGGGTCCCCAGAAAAGGAAAGACGAGATACAACTTTCTTGACATAAGAAGCATTATTTTAGGTCCAGCCATCCTGGATTCTGTGCCTGACCTGCACTTGCTCAAAGCACATCTCTTGCAGAACTTCCTGGGATATGTCAAAATTGCAGAAGAATTATCTTCTTAACTATCCCAGTAGTTAAGGATTTTAAGGGAAGAAAAGAATGGAAGAACAAACAGCCTCTATCAAGCCAGGAGATAGCCTAAGAATGGTATTGGGGACAATCAATCAGTGATAAAACTCCCAGGGTTGGTTCAAAAAGTAAAGATGGGCCCAACACACTCTTGAGCATCACTGCAGGAGCTAACCCTGTGAGCACGCAGACACCGGACCAACTGGACCCAGAGAACTGATGGTGTCACCCTGGCTGGCCCTGTGCCTTCCATCACCTAGGACCTGGACTCTGTCCCTTAAGATGGCTTTTGCCCCAAGTCCGTGCTGCGTCCCCCATTGCCCAAGCCCCGTCATGAACATGCACGCGCCCTTAGCGTAAACCTTCCCCAGTTCTGTTGTTTGCGGAGACACTGCTTCCGGAAATGTCCCCGGTGTTCCTTGCTTGTTCCAAGTACCACCTTCCTTGTCCTCTTCTTGGGCTTGGTTGGTCGTGCCCTTTGGCTCGTGACGCCAGCAAGAGGCGACCCCAGTTTCGGGTAACCGTTTTACAAGCAATTTACAGCAGTGCATGCGAGAGATGGTCTTTAGGGCCATACATTCTCCGCCTTTCCTGGTGGGAGCTCGCGGGCCCCGGAGGAGGGGTCGCAGCTGAAGACAGAGCCGAGCCGCAGAGAGGCCTCGGGGAAGTGAGCGTGGAGAAATACCCACTCCTGGGACTCGGGCTCGGCAGACTGGGGCAGCAGGGTCCGACCGAGTTAGGAGCACAGATTCATCTCTGGTAAGATGCAGATCATAAATGGTGGCACTCAGGATAGGAGGAGACAGGAGGGGCGGGAGGACATGCCGGGGGGACGCACGGGCAGGGGAAAGATGGCTGGTCGTGCTTGGGGATCAGCGAGGCCGCCCCCGGAGAGAGGGCTTCCTTCCCTCCCTCTCCTCGGCTGCGAAAGCGCCGGAGCGGGACCCTCCGGCCCCCACTCCCAACTAGACCTTGCAGGGGCTGAGCCAGCAACCCAGAGGAAGAAGAGGCCCCAAGGGTAGGTAAAGGGTGGGATGCAGGGAGGACCGTGACCGAGGATGGGAGGAGGCCCCCTGGAGGCGAGGGCTCCCTGATCCCTGGAGGAGGAGCCACCCGGACCGAGGGACAGCGGACAGGGAACGGACGGAGTTGTTTCACATCGTCCCTGGGCCTCTGCCTGCATCCCCGATCACCTCCAGGGGATCCTCGTTGGATGGACGTTGTTGCTTGTCTCCTTCCCAGCACGAGACAGAGTGGGGGCGTGGCTGACCCGAGGACGAGTCACCAAACCCAGACCGTGTGCCTGCCCAGGGCACAGACAGCACAAGCTCAGAAGGGTGGCCTGAGCTCAGTCTCCACCCCTACCACCCTCAAAATGGACTCTCCCGGAGCCTCTGTCCACCGTCCACCCGGTCCTAGAGCAGCCGGGACTCGAGAGGGACCCGACAGAGTGACCTCATCCCGTCATCCTTTGCTGCTGGGTCCACGGAGACAGTGCTCCCTCAAGTTGTGACGAGGTTACCTACATCACAGGTAAGCCCCTGAGTGACATGCAGAAGAAAAGGCATTACCCAGAAGCGTCAGGCGATGGTTCCCAAACTGCGTCAGGGCACCCCGGGGACCCTCCGCAAACTCGCAGGGGCATTTGTGGCTTATTTAAGATTTCTCAGGGGTACACAGAGACACCTGATGGACACCACACAACCTGCTGTTCCTGAGTTGTTTGGACCTAACAGCAACAAGTAATCGATAGAACTATTCGGTATTTCTTTTGGTCGGGGGGTGAAGGGGCCGCTTGGCAGGAGGATTATCTTGAGCTGAAGGCAGCTGAGACCCTGCGGGCTCGGGAGAAACTTTGCCCCTCCCTTAACTCCCCCCACTGCCCCTCCCCCTGCCCCTCCCAGTCCCCCCCAAGCCTCGCTCCCCGTCCCCCCTGCCCCTCCCCCCACCCGTCCCGCCCCCTGCTCCCCGTCCCCCGCCCCCACTCGTGCTCTTTCTCTCCGACATGAATAAATTAAAAAAAAAATCTTAAAAAAAAAGAAAAGAAAACACTTCACAGAGGGCCACTATCCATGAGGATAGATTTGGGATCTCAATCTTGAAGACCAGCCCCTCGCTCCCCCAGGGTCTGTTCCTCCCGCTTTTGATTCTCTGGTGGACTTTGCTCTGGTTCTGCCATGTCCCAGGGGAGGCCCAGTAGGTGGGAGGGCCTGGACCCCAGGGCCCTGCGCCCATCCCCTGCCCCTAGCCCCCGCCCCCGGGGCGCGGGTTCTGTGAGGAGCTCGGCAGCCACACAGGCTCTGCCCGCAGAGGGGAGAACGCGGCATCCATTTCTAATTTGTCCCCCTTGGACCTGGCATCTTGCTGTGCCTTCAAGGTTATTCTAAAATTGCCACGATTGGGCCGAGTCTGTATGACCGCTCAGACCTGTGGGGATAGTTTGCTTCCTTTCACGCTAATCAAGAAATTTTGTTTCTCCTGAAAGCAGAATACAAGGACAAAAATCGGGTTTGCGGGGAACTCGTCACAGTTTCCAGGAAAGAGAAAGGAAGGTGTTACTACTCACAGAGGCGCGTCTCAACTTCCCCTCCGTCCTTGGCTGAACCCCGCGGCTCGGTGTGAGCGGCGGGGAGGAGCCGAACCTCCAACTGTCCTGGGAAGCCTGCCGGAATTGCTCCTTTGTTGTGGGTGACCCTGCGGCCGGGATTCTTTCTTCCTGCCGCTGGCACGACCCGGGAACCCCCACCGCACCCTGAGATAGGTTCCCCAAATAATGCCAGGTTTGCTGGCAACGGCCAGAAGCTGGGAGAGGCGAGGAAGGACCCAGCCCTGCCGACACCTGGATCTCAGACCTCCAGCCTCCAGAGCTGGGAGACGAGAAGTTTCTACCGTTCAAGGCACGGAGCGTGTGGCACTTTGTTTCGGTGGCCCTGAGATGCGAACACTCCGTGTTTTATGCTCCTCTGTTCCCTGTAAATGCTACTGTTTGCTGGGAGGACCTGGCCTCAGTGTCTCTCTCAAAGTAACACTTCGAAGGCGCCGTTCTACACTACATAGTGCCACGGGGACTGCCAAATGCTAGCGGGCGCCCTATCCTTCCAGCGCACCACTGAGGGGGCCCGGTGCCACCAAAGCCACGAGCAAGAAGGCACCCGAAGCCCCGAGACCAGGCTTGGGGGCTCGAAGTCTGACATCAGTTCCAACGTGTGGGCTTTCTACCGATTAACTCAATTCTTTCACCATCTACCCAAAAATAGCATCCGATGCCACAAGCTAAGGGCTGGGTCCTGGCAGATTGCTCCTGTGCACACTGCACCCCCACCCGGCCGCCTGCAGACGCCAGCCACAGCTGTCACCTGCTTCGGACCCACTGGCTACAGATCGGAGGTTCCAACCACCGCCACCTGGGGTTCGAATAATTTGCTAGAGTGGCTCACGGAACTCAGAGAACTTACTAGATTACCGGTTTATTATAAAAGAATGTGACTCAGGAACAGCCAGATGGAAGAGATGCTCAGGGCGAGGTCCGGGGGGTGGGGGGACGGGGGAGGAGCTTCTGTGCCATCCAGGGACCACTCTCCCTACAGTCTCCCGTGTTCACCAGCCTGGAAGCACGCCAAACCTTCGCCTTTTGGGTTTTTATAGTGGTTTCATGGCACAGACGGAATTGCTTCAACCTCCAGCCGCTCTCCCTCCCCGGAGGTCAGAGGGAGGGACTGAAAGTTTCAACAATAATCACAGGCCAGCCTTACCCTAGGATGCTTTCCAAAGTCACCTTATTAACATAACAAAAGACAATGCTCTCTCTATTTGGGAAATCCCAAGGGTTTTAGAAGCTCTGTGCCAGGAACAGGATGGAGATCAAATTATATATATATATTTTTTTTCTGATATTTGTATATATTGTAAAATGGTCACTGCAATAAATGTAGTTAACATCTGTCTCGATACATAGTGACATTTTTCTTCCGGTAAGGACTTTTAATATCTACCTTCTATGGGGCGCCTGGGTGGCTGAGATGGTTAAGCCTCTGCCTTCGGCTCAGGTCACGATCCCAGGCATCCTGGGATCGAGCCTCTGCATCGGGCTCCCTGTTTGGCGGGGAGCCTGCTTCTCCCTCTCCCTCTAATGTTCCCCAGCTTGTGCTCTCTCGCCCTGTCAAATAAATAAATAAAATCTTAAAAAAAAATCTACTTCTAAGCAACTTTCAAATACGCAATGCAGTGTTATTAACTACACTACTAACTATGGGGTGTAATATATAGCAGGGTGACGAGAGTTAATGTATCTTGTTATAATTCACAACATCACGGGGGTGCAAAGCTCCTCCCTCACCCCCAGACGTGTGTGCACCACGGATGCCGAGCGAGGCGTCCCAGAAGACAACCCCTTTGTGGCCACGGGGCCTTTGGTCAGCTTCAGGACGGGGCGGGGGGGGGGGGGCTGCCCTGTGCCTCCAGGCCAGCCACCTCCTCTAGAACACACCTTGGGCATGCAGGCCTGGCTGGGGGCCAGCTCCAACCCAGGCCTTCCCAAATCTCCCGTGGGGCACCTTCAGAAACTTGTCTTTCTGCCTCCTGCCTTCTGGCACAAGCCACGTTTCCCGGGAAATCCTTTGAAAAAGCACGAACTGCAGCAGAACTGTTGTAGAAAGACATGGTGACGCAGCCCTCCCTGCACGGCTGCCGGGGAGGGGGGGTGGGGGGGGCTCTTACCTCTGTGCCTCTGCAACGCACACCAGGAGTCATCCTGGCCGTCTCCGCTTCCCTCTTATATGCTGTGCGGCTCACTCCCCCCGGGCACTGGCAGAAATGAAACTAGATATCCCAGCCCCAGAAATGAAACCGAAGCTGCAACACCCTCCCACCCCCACCCCCGTACCCCGCCCGTGACTCATACAGGGGTCCTCGGCTGGGCAGGATGGTCCCGGCAAGGCTGGGGCACACATGGTGGGGGTGGGGAGGGCTGCTGCCTGGGGCCGGGGTGGGGCCGGAGAATCGGCATCGCGGAGGACCAGTTCGGGGGGAGGCTGGTGTAGGGCCCCGTTTGGAGATCCGATGACTCAGAGCAGCACGGTTCTATGGGACATTCCGTGATGATGGGAATGTTCTGTTCTTTGCCGTCCACTGCAGAGGGGTGCCAGTGTGGCTCCCAAGCGTCCGGACCGAGGCTAGTGAGCCCGAGGACCTGACCGTCTTGCTTGGTGTCATTCTGATTCTCTCAGCCCCTCCCGGGGGGCTCCCACATGCCCTCAGGGCCGTGGTCTGCACGCCCTGAGAGGTCCTGCAGCGGCGCGCCTGAACCACGGCTGACCATTGCCGTCCTGTTCCTGTGCAGACCCAAAGGAGGGAAGTGAGCAGCTTCCCGCAGTAACCCGCTTGTTCAGTGCACACCAGCACGCTCCTGGTGGGTCCCTGCCCTGGGGGAGCTCTCTGCCGGGACAGGAAGAGGACGGAGGCCAGACTGCAGGGGGCTCCCAGCTGGTCCTCGGTCATGTCCCCTGTGAAAGTGCAGGCATGCGCCCAGGGGTCCTGCAGGTCCCCTGTTCTGCGCCTGAGTAGAGGTGAGTCACATACGCCTGTCACCAGAGCACAGCTGTTGGGGAACCCCAGGGTGCTGGCACAGCACAGGGAAGAGGAAGCAGGCCTCAGGCTGATCTCCTCCAAAATCGAAACTAACATTGTATATAAATCATGAAAAAACAAACAAACCCAAGCACTTCTATGTTCATTCATTTTACTTACTGCCCTTGTGGGCATGTTTTCCTTTAAAGAAGGAATTTAAAGGTTTAAAAGATGTTTTTAGAATCCTTGCCTTGAGGGGCGCCTGGGTGGCTCAGTCGGTTAAGCATCTGCCTTCGGCTCAGGTTATGACCCCAGGGTCCCGGGATCGAGTTCCGCATCAGGTGCCCTGTTCGCGGGGAGCCTGCTTCTCCCTCTTCTCCCTGCTCATGCTCTCTCTCGCTATCTCTTTCTCTCTCTCAAATAAATAAATGAAATCTTAAAAAAAAAAAAAAAGAACCCTGGGCTTGAGAGGTCTTGGGGAGACAGTCTTCGAGATCTGTGCCCTGCAGGGTCTGATGCTGAGCACTGTTACTCCAGAGCCCCGGGGAAGGGAGCTGAGCAGCTCATTTGCAGTGTGGAGCTTTTCTGTCTCACCACCAGTGTCTTTTCTAGCAGTCCCGGGGCGTGTCTACAGCTCCAGGAAAGGCACCTGAAGGCCCTGGACAAGCTGGACAGAGCAGCTCTATCTTAGGCGGAGGCAGCAAGAGCAGCTGCGGAGACCTCTGTCTGCTGTCTGAAGAGCTTCCCCTCCTGCGTGCTCCCCATCCCAGCGGCCTCTCCAGCAGGGAGCAGGGGTGCCCACACATTCAAACTGCCAGGATGGCGGGGCGCCTGGGTGGCTCAGTCGGTTGAGCGACTGCCTTCGGCTCAGGTCATGATCCTGGAGTCCCGGGATCGAGTCCCGCATCGGGCTCCCTGCTCAGCGGGGAGTCTGCTTCTCCCTCTGACCCTCTTCCCTCTCGTGCTCTCTATCTCTCATTCTCTCTCTCTCGAATAAATAAACTAACTAACTAACTAAATAAATAAATGTGCCTCAAACTGCCAGGATGGGGTCCTTGCGGCTGGCCGATGGTGACATGAGCAGCCGAGGAGGGAGCACGTGTCACTGGCAGCTTTTTTTTGTTTTTTTTTTACTAGACTATCTTTTACTGCAGTTGTGGGTTCAGAGCAAAATTGAGAGGAAGTTACAGACATTTCCCATTTCCCGCTGCCCCTGCACATGCACAGCCTCCCCCACCAGACAGGTACCTTCGTCCCAGGCGACAAATCTGCACTGATGTATCATCACCCAGAGTCCGTAGTTCACGTCGAGTTCACGTCCCGTGATGTGCATTCTGAGGGTCTGGGCAGGTGCCTGAGGACACGCACCCCCACATTACAGTACATATGGGCCCTCTGAGCTCCGGCTGGGCCCCCCACCCCTCAGTCCCTGCTGTCGCCGCCTCAATGACCACCCTCACACTCTCCAAATGCCTCGTCCCGCCTCCCGGGTGGTCCAGACCCCAGAACCCCTGACCCCTCCCGCAGGGGGGGCCAGAGGGGCTTCCCAGTAAGGGGAGGACACAGCGAGACAGCTAGTGGGGGACACGGGGCTCTGCGGGGAGGGAGCAGTCCCCAGCGCAGGGCGGAGGACGGTGTGGGCACAGCCATCCCACTGCGGGCATTGCTCACGGGCTGTGAACTCGCCCATGCAGGCTGGGAAGCAGATGCTTTCAGGAACGTTCCACAAGAGTTGCCGAAAGAAAACGGAGTGGCAGGGCCTACAAGACCCACAGCAGTGACCCAGGCCTGAAATCTCAAATGTGCTAACGTTGTGGAAGCCATTCTGCTGACGGCCATACTATTTAATGGAATAAAATGAAAGTCTGGGGAGAAAACACAAGCCTGATGAAGGGAATATGGCCAAGGTCGCCACTGAGGAGGACGTTTTCAGGAAGCTCTGTTTGGCAGGCAGTCAGCTTGGCAGCCGAGCGTCAGCAGGTGGCATCGTGAGAACAGACTCGGGGCCCTCCTGGATGCTGGCGCCCAGAGGCTGGGACGTGTCCACCCTCGGGGCCCAGTGGGCAGCAAACAGGACACGGACGGTCCGGGGCCGGCGCCCCAGGTGGGGATGTACCCGTGAGGGCCACCGCAGGTGCCAGTGGAGGCTGACGGGTCCCAGCGCTTTCTCGGGGCGGGGGCGGCCCAGGAGCCTCACATCCTGGGACAGGATTCTGGGACATGCTTGGCCAGGAGGCCCTGAGGCCTCATCCCTGACAGTGAACTAAGATCAATGGGCCTGTGAAAATGCAGTCATTCCGGCCACAGTACAAAGATACTCCCTCCCCCTTTCTTTAGTACAGAAATGTCTATGGGCGCCAGAGCTTAGAACCCAAAGGGAACCGTAAGCATGTCCTTGGGGCGGCCATACCAAACCCCACAGATGGGCGGCTTAAATAGCGACATTTACTCTCCCTCAGTCTAGAGGCCAGAAGTCCAAGGCGTTGGCCCGCCTGTGCACCCCCCACGGGCTCGGGGGGGGGGGCATCTGTTCCAGGCCTCTCCCCAGGCTTCTAGGGGTTTGCTGGTGTCCCTGGGACTTCCTGGCTTGTGGAAGCATCACCCGGACCTTTGCCTCCATGCTCTGTGTCCATGTCCCCCTTTGCATACGGACACGATCACCCCTGGCTCGTGGTCCACCCTTATTCCTCCTAACATGCTACACCCACAACTCTATTTCCAAATACGGTCACATTCTGAGATTCCAGGGGTTAGGATCTCAACTTAGGAATTTTGCAGGGACACAGTTTGGTCCATAATGGGGCCTGAGCCACAGTCCTAGGCAGTGGTTTGCAGACTCCCTGGCCACAGGTCCGGTCCTACGGCAGTTCTGCACCCCAAGAAGCAGGGCTTGCTCCTCCCAGCCTCTCTTCCAGGCCACATCCCTACCTTCCCTCACCATTCCCATCCATTCCAGTCTTCCTGCTCACGAATGCCTTCGCTTTGAGAAATTCTGGCATAAACGTACTGTGTGCCAAGATTGGATACAACCAGCAAATACTGCTCACTTGAAGACAACCCTCAAAAACTCAGCAAATATTGACTGTTGGCTAAGATTCTTGGGCCAGGCCACACTGCATGGGTCTACACATCACACATTTATTAAGGCCGTGTGCAACATTAGCTCGGTTGTTTCGGGATGCAGCCTTCTATCTGTACCTCTGCAGGCCAGCCAGAGTACCTGTTCCTCGCACTGTCAGAGTGGTTGATCTGTGTGAAGAAAAGAATTGTATTTATCCACTCATCGATTCAACAAATATTTAACATGTCAGTTATGAGCAAAGTCATATAAAGAGAATCACTGCCTAGAACGGGATTTGCTCTAACCTACTCTGGGCACTTGATTTTTTTTCTTAATAATATTTGAACCAGGTGTTAATGAAGCTCTAGAACCTTCTGCAAGGACACAGATGTTCTATCATCTATGCTGTCCAGTACAGTAGCCACCAGCCACGTCGGATTCGTGAGGACTTAAAATGTTGGCTAGTGTGACTGATGAACTGAATTTTAAATTCTATTTTATTTAGATAAATGTAAAGGTAAATGCAAATTTGGCCAGAAGCCGCCATATTGGCTGGCATAGCTCAAATGTTTAATTTTCAATTCTCTGGATGTAGGGCTGTATTTTTTTTTTTTTCAGGGAAACGGTACAGTCCCTTGCTCAGCAAATGTGTGTTCATACTGAGTGGGCTTAAGTCCTTCACATCTTTGATTCTTTCACAGATAACAGAGCACTTTAACCTGATACGTAAGAAGGATAATTTGCGTTGTTATGGAACTGAATTCTACTTTTACATTCCTTTTTATATAACAGCTTTACTAAGATGCAATTCACATACTATAAAATTTATCCATTTAAAACATGCAATTCAATGGTTTCTACTGTATTCACAGAGATACGCCACCATCACCATGATTTTAGAACATTCTCATCACCTGAACAAGCAGGCACTCCCCACTGTCCACAGCCCTAGGCAGCCACTCATCTACTTTCTGTCTCTATGGATTTTGCCTATTCTGGAAATTTCATACAAATGGAATCATACCAATATGTGTGTTTTTTGTGTTTGGTTTTCTTCACTTAGCATATTTTGAAGGTTCACCGGTACTGTAGCTTGGCTTGGCATGTCATCTCTTTAAGTGGCTGCATAATATTCCAGTGAATGGCTCTCCCATATTTTATTATACATTTTTAATCCATTAATCAAACATTTGG